CTAGTCCTAAACCTAGATATAATCCTTAACCCTAGATCTAACCCGTAACCTTACCCTAGTCCTAACCCTTGTCCTAACCCTAACTCTAAACCATGAACCTCACCCAGTAACAACCCTCTCCCTGACCATAACCTCAACCCTAAAATCATTATTATTGATGGTGGATTATTCTGCAGTTTGCCCTAACAGTTTTGCCTGATGTTTTAAATAAAATGCTACCCGCCACTTCCTTATTGTGTCGATCGATCGACTTTACGGCGATCAAATTCAGAAGGGGGGATAATTTGTGTTGGATGCGTGTTACGGGGGGGGGGGGGGGCGGCAGTATGGATATTTTTTTGAATTTTCATCAACAATTGCATTTTGATTGAAAAATAGTTAATTTGATAATCAGGGAAACAAAATTGGATAAAGACGGCAATCCTCAATGTATTAATATTTTCAAATTATTTAATCTAAATTTAACCTGCTTAAAAAAAGGATTTCTAGGTAATCCAAAATGAGCTGCATGGGTTGAACAGAGCAACACTAATTGTGCTCAACCGTAGTCCTAAAATTGCCCTAACCCTAGTCATACCCCTAACCCTTGTCATAACACTTAACCTTACCCCAATCCTAGCTTAACCCTACTTCTAACCCAGCCCCTGTCACTGACCCTAATCCTAACCCTAATTCATTATCATGGATGGTGGATAATTCTGCAGTTAAGCCCTATAGGCCGTTTTAGCTGATGTTATTAATAAAAAATTAATGAACCCCCGCTCCTTTTGTATATGTCCGATTAGACGACCATCGATCAAATGTCAAAACAAGAAGAACAAATATTTTCTTTAAATGGAAGATTATCCTGATGAATAATTTGCAGATTAGGCATCATGCAACAAACAAAACTGTTAAAAAATTCTTTTAAATGAAGCCAATTGATAAGTTTATGACACTAACAAGAAAAAGCGGAAAAGTACCCTTTTTTTAAACCATTGGTATTAAAAACGTAAATACACATGCACTTTGAAATATCATGATAGAGAGTGTTGTTATTATTCAACAATCATGATATGCGACCCATCCCGAAATTTTTCATCTGCAAAACAAAATTAAAGATAAATTTGAAGAAAAAAAATAGGGGTTTGTCTCAGTTACTTCGGATATTTTACTTCCAATTTTACAGCGACAGAATTATGAGACTACGTACCGTTGTTTAAAGTGGAAAAAGCCCTCTATTGACTCTTTTGCAATCGACGCAAATAAAGAAATTGAACTACGCAAGTGGCTCATAGTCTCTTTCTTCAGGCTCATTTACTATATGAAGCGTTATTTGACATATTCATTGTAAAGTGTAGAAAAGAAAGAACAAGAAAAGACAACAACAAAATGAAAGGAAGAAGTTTTTACAAAGCTGTTTAGTCGCCGCTATACCCGAATATAGTCAAATTTATGGATTATCGTTATTTGCTGGATAAAAGCACAATTTTTGGTACAGGGCTTCGTTAGGACTTACTAAACGATATTAGGCTAAGAGCCCCCGGCAACAAAATCGATTAAAGGGTGTGGGGGCGGGAGCGTCTTTTTGGAGCCCCCAAATAATTTTACAACATTGATTTGTTGCTGTACAAATGCCGTTTTGGTACAGGGCTCCCTTAGGACCTTCTGAACTATATTAGGGAAGGAGCCCCGGCAAAAATATCATATAAGGGTGTGGGGTGGGGGCGTCGCCTCGTAGCCCCAAATATTTTATAAGATAATATAACATTGGGTTTTTGTGAAACCCATGGGGCCCCCAATCGCACATATATGAATAATTATGCCGGGGGCTTCTACCCTACCATCATTCAGCACAGGCGCGGATCCGGGGGGGGGGGGGGTAGTGAGCACTATTTTTAAATTTGTTTTGCTCCCCAAAATTAGAAAATCGCCGCCGGGGCGGGGGGGGGGGGGGTGGAGTGTCGAAAATTTAAAAAATTTTCACCTCAAGGGGGAGGGGGGGGGGGGGGGTTCGGGCTCCCCGGGCCCACTCCCTGGATCCACCACTGATTCAGCAGGTCCTAATGAAGCCCTGTACCAAAAAGGATGACTGTACTACAAATCTCAATGTTATAATACCTTATGAATTTTATGTGGTCTACGAGGCGACGCCCCGCCCACACCCTTAAATGATATTTTTGCCGAGGCTCCTACCCTACTATCGTTCAGTAGGTCCTAAGGAAGCACTATACCAAAAATGGTGCTTTTGATCTGGCAAGTAACGGTAATTTCACTAAGCCACCTGAATATTAAGCTATTTTTCACAAAATTTCTCGTACATTGATTGCTTGAACAACTATGGTGATTATTATTTGGTCATCAATGCCGATCAACTTATTGTTAAAATGTGACAAACATTTATCTTCATGTGATTTATACCGCCTTGGGAGAGAGAGAGAGAGAGAGAGAGAGAGGGGGGGGGGGAGGGAGGAGAGAGAGAGAGAGAGAGAGAGAGAAGAGGGGAGGGGTGATGATGACATTGGTGATGACAATGATGACTCTCCCTGTTGAATTGCACGACAAGGTTTATTTTTTTCTGTAGTTACATGTACTTATTTCGATTTAGTCATACAAAACATTTGAATTTAAAATGCACATTAAAAGGTATAAGTTTACTTGTTTTTGATAAAGGAAATTGCTTTAAGGAGTGGGATATTATTAGTACATGCTTTAATATTATTGTATAAATATCATTATTATACATGTATCATCACCATCACCCTTGGTGCCATCATCATCACTACTACCATCATTTTCACCACCACCATCATCACTACTACCATCATCATCACCACTACTACGATCACTATCATCATTATCACCACCACCATCATTACTACCATCATTATCATCACTACTACCACCATCATCACTACTATACTATCATCACTACCATCATCATCGTCGTCACTACTACCATCATCATCACCACTACTACCATCATCATCACCACTACTACCATCATCATCACCATCATCATCACTACTACAATCATCACCACCAGCATTACAACTTTCATTATCACCATCATCACCACCATCATTACTACCATCATTATCATCATCATCACTACTACCACCATTACCACCACCATCATCATTACTATACCATCATCACCACCATCATCATCGTCGTCGTCACTACTACCATCATTATCCCCACTACTACCATCATTATCCCCACTACTACCATCATTATCCCATCATCATCATCACCACCAACATCGTCACTATTATCATCATCATCTTCATCTATTCACAGTAAAGTTTTCAATGAATTCGGTGTTGTCTGCCAAAGTTAGCTTACAGTTTAAATTTTGATATTAAATATGCAAATCATGTAAGTTCCACTGCAAACCACCCTTAATGCTGTGGTTCATAATTTGAAGCAGTTGATAATTGTCATAGATATTACAAATTCAAAATTATTCAGTCTAGTCCATTTTCAAGGTGGCATATTTTTACAAGTTTTAACTTTCTTATTGTAATTTTAACACAACTATTGTGAGAACATGAAAACAGAATTTAAAATTCTTGATTTCAACAATTACACCATAAAACTTTCATCCATTTGAAAACGTTACAACTACATGTACATTTATTTCTAAAAGGGCCCTAATTCACCCAGTCAACCTTTCATTCTTAAGTTACAAAAAAATGCATCCCCAAAAATCACATTTACAAGGAGTATGAATAATTCACTTGTTAACTCTATATTTTATATCTCAAACAATATTGTTGACATTTTCGTAGCACATGTACATTGCAAAAAGGACATGTACACGCATACAGTGTAAGCCCATTGACATAACATGATGGAACTGACAAGGAATATCCATTAGTTCACAGCATATGCTCTGAGGAAAAGTAGAAATATTGAAGAAATACATTGGTAAAAATGTAATGAACTGGATAATAATAACAAAAATTATGAAATATTCTAAGTTATTCCATAATACACATATATACATGTAATATGTATGTTAATTTCAATTAAACTGTTCTGTAGTTGTGATGTTATGTGGACAACCCTCACATTTGCTTTTATTGACGCAAAAAATACATTACAGGATAAGAGAAATGTAATTGCTTTGGAAATACTTTCTTGGCATCTACTAAATGTCCCTTTACTTGCTGGTTATAGTGAACAATACAAACAATGGTAATTAATCAATCAGCAGTTTTTCTATCTTTAAGTCCTCCAAACTATATTAGCTATAGTACATGTACAAGATTTGATATACCCGAACACATGTTCATTTAGATCATTTGCTGACATTTAACAAAAAAGATCCATTACTTATTTCATCTGGGGACAAAATAGTATCTCATTTGAAAACTTACATTTTAGTTGATACGTATAGAGAATATATGTAACAATCTTACCTCAATCTTACATTATTCTTTACACTACCGTTTTGGAAAATTATGACATATTTTTTTTTGTAATGAACAAAGTATTATGCTGAATCATAAATATGCAATTATTACAGCTTTGATACCAAGGAAGAATCATATGCAACAAACAAACATGTACATATTCACATCATTATGGATACTCATGATTTTTTTTTTTTTTTAAGCTATCCTCACACTTTTTCCTTCTGAATATACAATGAGGTATAACATACCTTTTAGATTCAATGGCGATTTAATCAATTCATAGTGAGCATGCTGTAAATATATTCTTACTTGACCAACTATACCTGCATGTATCATAATGCAAATGCATTTTTCTGAAATATTGAAAATAAAAGAGCACTGTTTATGTACTGTTAAGCCAGGATGTGAAAATAATTGCACAGGAAATGACAAGAATGGTTGATGATACTTTTTTTTGTTTGGTAACATGCATTACAAAGACATTAATGTATGGAAATTATAAGTATAACATCCGTGCATGTCAGTTGAAGGAGTGTTCTAAAATTCCCTTTTTAGGAAACTTCCAACTTTAATTTTAAGACTACAACAAATTTAAAGCGTTTTGCTGCTTTTTCTCATCAATTGATGTACCTAGTAACATGCTATTAAAGTAAATCAATGCGGTTGTAGTGAAGAGAAAAGAATTGCACTAACTCGTACATGGATCCTGACAAGATTCAGATAGTTAGACAGTGAAATTTTTATGACTTACATTTTGATTTTCAAATGACAGTGTTTCTCCCTTTTACATTTTAATGTTTGATGAAATTAATAACAAGCGTACTGAACTGAAATATTGCCAATTAAAAAGCATTGTTTATGTGCTACAGTATAAAGCAACATTTCTTTTGAAGGAAAGGATAAATGATCCAATATAATGTCTAACTATCTGATTCTTAGCTTCCTTCACCTTCACCTTCACCTATCCCACAGTCTGGCTGACCCTTGGGGCACCACTGAAGATTTATACTACCAGCTTCCTCCACTCCTCGTGGTTCTTGGCTTTACGAAGTATGATGTTTCAGTCAAGGTCACTCGTTAATGTTGTCTTCCCATCGTTTCCTCTGCCTGCCTTTTCGTCTCCCTCCTTGTACTGTTCCATGTAGAATAGTCTTGGCCAGTCCAAATGATCATGTGACATACCCATACCACTTTACTTTGCATCTTTTCACTGAAGTCAGGAGGTCTTCATACGGCCCTATGGTGTTTCCAATTCTGATTTTCACTACCTCGTTGGTTATGTGATCTCTATACCAGATACTGAGGAGTTTGCGGAAACATTTCATCTCCAGTGCCTGTATCCTTCTTTTAATGTCTGCTGTCATGGTCCATGTTTCACATGCATACAAAAATATGGACATATGGACAAGATCCTATAACCGATTTTGAATGGGTGGTATTCGTTTTCGACTGAAACACTGCACATGTGTGTTACTTCCAGCCTGCATAGAAAAAGAAGAAAATGATAGCGTGAATGGTAAAAATACAACAATCGCGTAAACAAATCAAAATTGATTCTATCAGGGTTTTACAAAAGGTCTCTAATAAAAAATTTAAAATCATATCAATTCTTTAACCTCCATGTAACAAATAAAGTGGGATAGACTTCTTTTTTAAATTCATGTATGCTCCAAAGCCTTTCTTTTAGGAATGAATGAATGCATCTAATTAAGAACACAAACTGATTATTATCGAACATGTCATTATCAAGTCCCTAGATATCATTTTTTATATACTGTACATTTATCTATAGAGAGAATGATTGGAAATTCAATTTTAAATATATATCTAAAGGCTATCCTCCTACATACGTGGAAAAGGTTCTCTCATACTGTAACCACTTTGACATATAATCTATTAAGAGGTAATGACCACATCATCTTGAAAAGCCTTGTGAGGCATTTTTTCTATCTACACATATAAGTTATAAAAAAAAACATGAATGGTGCCACTTGTTGATTTCCCCTTTCTGTAAAGGAGGTTTAATTGAAAATTGTATAGTTTAATAGAACCATGATCATAGATTTGCAGGATATCCTCCTGAATATGATAAAGTTTATGGGTGAGTGTATATTACATGTAGGTACATAATAATTACAGTACTGTTTCATCAGGGTTAGCATTAAAACAGTTATAAATCAAATCATGAAAACATGAAAATATGAACTTGCAAAGATGCATTACAATTAATCTATAACTATTTAATTATATTGCGAAAGTGTATTGGAAAAAGAGGGAATGTTCACTACACACACTGATGAAACTTGGTTATCAAAGGGGAAGTCTACCTTGATATAATGATGGTTTTGAGAAAAGCAGAAAAACTACAGACAAAAAACTCAATGACCAAAACAACACGTCTGCAACTACCTAAAGAGAAAGGAAAAAAATCAACTACAGGCAATTTCGGAAAGAGTTCCATATATATAACCCCACTAAAATCGATGCACAGCTGTATAGCCTACCCTCACTCTCATCCTAATCCTAACCCAGCATACCCATATTTTTTCCTTCAATTTTAGTGGTGGTTACGTGTACATATGGAACTCTTGTCGTAATTTTGATGGCCTTGCAGGGTTCATCTTCTGAAACTTGCAAACATTACAAAGATGTATTTACAAAGATGTATTATAGAATCAGAACATAATTGCCGGAGTTGATTTGAAAGTTGTTGGAATGGTGTTAAATGCAAATTAGCATCTTGTGAATGGTGTAGACTTTATTTATTGACATTCCTCTTGCAATTTCTTTTTAAGGCTACAAACATTACTGTTATGATAATTGTAGATCTATCACATAAAAGATGACAAGTGACGTTTGAAATTAGATTTGGCTTCCTACATAATTAATCATAAAATGTCTCAAATTTATTTGCTTTGTGTTTCTGCTACGTGTATACATGGTGATGGTCTTTCTCTTGCTCCCTTATTACTCTGCAAGGAAAGACCCAGTATTTAACAGCTCATTGCAAAAACTATATTGTGTCTTGAGTGAAGCCCAAACTGGTTCCTGCTGCTTAGCCTTGGCTGCATTCTCCTTATAGTCTTCTAGCTCAGATCCTCTCTTCCACACTTCATTTCATTATCGCAATTTGTTCTTATATCTTATGGGTTACCGGTACATATCCCTAATCTATGTGAATCATGCATTATGTTGCTGACTGAAGAAAGCAATTTCTAAATTTGCAACTTAAAAGATCTAAGCATACGTCAAAGGGCTGGCTCAAAGAATACATAGAAGCCAGAAAAACAGGAAGGGGTGGGGGGGGGGGGATTGGACTCAAATTCATAAGATTTACAAGAGGACTTTATGAAAGCAGGTCATTTTATACAATAAATAAATATAGTTGTACTTTGAATCATCTTCACATGAAAAGGACTTACAGGTAAGTAAATGTTTTTAAGATATTGTTACATGTACCTGCTACTGCTACCTGGAGCTAACCCTCGTCGCTGAGAAATAGCCTTGAAGTATACTGTTTGGTTGAACGGAAATTCCATTTCAGCTGTATACTACCGCAAATGTCTGACAGTTTGCTCCAAAGAAGACTGTAGTTTGGGTAAGAGCAATAGTTACAATTAAGTATAAGTATACACATGTAAAGTTGCATTTATACAGAACTATTACAGTGACATAATAACAATATTGCAACTTCCTGCGATCAAAAAGGGGAAGAGAGAGGTAGCTAGAGTGATTGAAAGTAAAAAAAAAAAGGGAAAAAAAGAGGGGAAAAGAGGGATAAAAAGTAGAAAGAGAGAGAGAGAGAGAGGATATAAGGAGCTGCCAAGACATATACATTTCTACTCATATGAATCTGCATAATAATATACAATACAAAAACTACATGTAGGTATTGTTAATACATGTTCATGCAGATCTGCTGAAATGGATGATATAAAATCAATGTTTGGTAGTTGTTGCTTAACTTGAAATAAATATTTGAAGAGCTGCATGAATAAGTATATTATTTTCTTTCAAATCAATGATGGTATTGTTTCCAAGAAATAAGAGTGACTTAAATTGAAAGTTTGTTTTAAAATGTAGAAGCCACAGTATTCTTGTGCACTGATGCATGCAACATGCTATCTTTAACATTTGAAATGTGATACGTCTAGCAAAAACAATCCTAACTTAAGTTTGTGGGGTAGTATTGTTCCTTGTACACAAATGGTATTTAGATAATACTAACACAGCACTGCCAACAAAATGAATGGATGAGTACCGTTTAAAACTTTAAAATGTATCCAATAAAAATATTGTTGCATATTCTTTTTAGACAGTAGACACCCTGTAGAAAAACAAAAATCCTAAGATTTTACTGCAAGCTATAATTATTATTTCATTTGGCATTGCAACAATGGAAACAATAAATTACTGCTAAAATGTATGGACAGTCAGATTTTATGCAAATTTAGTCTCAAAGTTACTATTCAGTGCGTATAATAAAAAAAATGTACCAGTTCCAACTTTGGTAACTTAATTATAAAGTTGATGTGCACTGTAAAACTTACAGGTTGCAATCCACAGCAGTCATTAATTTTGCACAGGGGGGGGGGGGGGGGAAACAAATTTCCACACCCAACCCTCTTTTAAAGACTAAAACCATAGACCGCTAAAACCAAGGAACGGCTCTACGTAATATGTACACTGTATACAATATATACCAAACTGAATGGAAATCATACCAGAGTTGAAGAATAAATGAAAAATAGATGTGCATAAGAATAACTTTGACATAGACACACACAAACAAAAATCCAATAAATTTTAAAAGGAAGACTGGCCAACTTTTAATGCTACATGTAGTATATACATGTAGGAGATTGCATATACTGTAGGGATAAGGGGTAATCTTTTGGAAATTGGATCAAAATAGAAAAAAAAATCATTTAAAGGAGAAAACATTATGCAATTAATATCTTTGTACAGGAAATAAATAAAATATATCAATAAAAAACAACTACAAACAAACAAAAATAAAGGATAATCAGCTGATTATTGTTGGAGAAAAACATTATCTTTTTAATATGCAAATTATACTTTAGTTTCATTTATTTCTATACAAATTCAGACAAATTGCAAAATATTATGGTAATGAAAGATAACTGACCATGGTTAGTTAAATCTTAGGTAATCAATAGTATTCAATGGTTTTGGATCCTCAGAGAAACATGTATTTTAACTCAAATTATATTAATTAATTTAGCTTTACCTAATCTATAGAACATAATGGAAATTGAATAGAAAAGCTGTATTTTCCACTCAATAATATGACTCTTCTGAAAATATGTGCACATGTACATGTAATGTACATGTAGGGTCTTACTATATTAAAGATTTGTAATAAATAGTTTTTAAAATGGCATAAGAATACGAAGAGGGAGAAAGTGCAACATGGATGCTTCACATTATACACTGTCGCTCATATAGTTGGAATATTTTTGTTTTACCCCACTTTATGGAATTATTTTTAAAATAATTTAAAAATAATAGATCTAGATAATAGTATCCATTCTCCGATTTTATTGAATAATAATAATTTGACAATGTGTGTTTTGCGTGACTGCTAAAGCATGTGTATGCTACTATGCTTATCAAATAGGGGACCTACGCCCTTAAGTCATAAATGACAGTAACGAGGATTAATGCCCCACAAAAGGGCACTAATATAGCACATCGACACGGTTTTGATCCTGGGGCCTCACAGTTACGAGGCCATTGCTTTGTCACTGAACCATGACTGTACGAAGCGGGGGCTAGGATAGGGGGCAGTTTCCATAAACAAAATAAAAAACAGAAAATGAAATTTATTGCATTTTACCCCGTCCCCAACATAAACAAATCCTCTGAATGGCCATGCATTATGGCTCAAAAGCTGTTCAGTTTTCTATTAGAGGGATATCAGATGGATATTTAAAAAGGGGTGATGATGTTAATGCAGAGGTGATAGAGAAGGGCAGATTAGAAAATAATTCTGAATTCTGAACCTTACAATTTTCCTTCTACATACCAAAGTAATTTACATTTCATTTATTTACTGACAAATAATTGCAGTCACTTTTGCAATCAATAATAGTCACTCTTTCCAGTTTATTATTCTCATACATGTATGATCTCCTTTTCTCTCTCTTTAAATATCTCTCTCTCTCTCTCTCTTTCTCTTTCTCTCTTTGCAGCTGCAAGTTCCAGGTACTGTTTTGTTTTAAGTTTGTGCAATGTTAAGCACCTAACAGGAATAAAGGTACATGGGTGTCATTGGAAATAGGGTATTAAGGAGGGTACTTTTGACAGACTTTGTTTCAAATTGGCATCCCAAATATCTAGCTACAGATACGGGGTAATAAAGTGGACATGTACATGTATGTAAAAGTAGCTGCACAAATCTAGAGTCTGCTTATCGTGCATTTTATAGAATGAAACGGGATAGTAACTTTGGAGCAAAATACTATAGAACATAAATCGGTTATACAAATATTAACACTTGGGATGAAGAACAGGAAATCTGAAAATTAATGAATCGTCATTGATGAGAAAAATAAAAAATCACATCATTTTATTCATTAGGTCATTTCATTGTGATGACGAGTAGGTGATTAGAATTTCAAAATGTACCCAGGAGAAATCTGCCCAGATAGAAAGCTTGTGACATATATTTACATTCAATATCATGCAGCACTTTACAGTTTTCTATTCTTCTGTTTTATTATTTGTTTAAATTTCTCCTTTTATTGAGATAACCCTATGTTAGTCTTTTTTTCCTTCTGTTTTCCTCTTTCTCTCATTTTCTATGTTATTCCTTTTTTATTGTCTACATCTTTTTTCTTCTTTTTTCTGTCCTCGCTTCATGTTCTCTTATTTTATCCTTCTTTTATCTTTTACTTTAATATCTTCTATTCATATACTGTTTTTTTATATTCTTCTTTCACTTTCCCCTATTTCTGTCTACATAGGATATGACTTTTCACTCAGTTTTTGTCTTCTTTCATTGGTTCTTCTCTCTTTCCCTGTGTGTGCCTTTATTTTTCTCATTTGTATCTAAACAGTTATCTTTGTTCTTCTTCCTTCACTCATTTTCTCTTTCACACCTTTTTCGCATGTATTCTTTATCTTAAATGTTATCATCCTCCATGTTTACAATCAACTATGTTTATCTTTATTTTCTCATTCATATCACCTCATGACTGCGAATGGTGGTCATGTTTTACATAAAAATGTAAGAAAACAAAAATGACATAAACTCACTAATGCACAGAGAAGTTGCCCACTAATACCTTCCATTTTTTTTATAAAGAAGAAGCATCCAAAGAACAGGAAATCATTAATAATTGGGGATGTGTCAATTTTGGTGGTGGCCTACCTCTTTGTTGAAGCGTACTTAAAAACACCAGAAAAATCTCACAAATTAAAAAATATAAGTCCTTTTCACGATTTAGAATCTTATTTCCATACAATTCCATAACTTGGATCTCTGTCACCTTGATCAAGTGAAATTTTGAGGCTTTTTTTTTGGGGGGGGGGGGGGGCTGGTGATTTATTTCCCTTGTCAAAACTCACACACAAGTTTGAGAATACTCACAGCAGTTGTACTCCACCATAGCTTTACAAAATGTACCTGTTGAAGAGGCTTCAATATGTCTTGTGTTCTAGTATTAATAGCAGGGATTGACCATTCATAGATATATAAATGTACATGAGGAAAAAATTATTCAAAATTTCCCTTCAACTCTGAAACACAAAATATGTACGTGTAGCATAAATTACAATACATGTATGGGTTGAAGAGTCCCTGAATTGAGTTTTTTTTAAATACAATGTAAGAGAAACAGAATGGCAAAAGTTTGAAATAAATCAGACCAATACTAAGAGTTATGAATGTTTGAAGTATGAGATCACTAAATAAATGTGAATCTCAAATTGGCAATTTGGTACATTCATGTAGACATTGATAACTCTTCTGTTTGTTGTCTACTTCACCTCTGAAACATACATGTAGCATAAATTACATTACATGTGTGAGTTGAAGAGTCCCTGAATTGGGTTTTAAAAAAATACACTGTAAGAAAAAGAGAATGGCAAAAGTTTGAAATACATGATGTAGACATGTATGGATAACTCTCCTGTTTGTTGTATACAAAACATAATCTTAAGTGCCTTCTTCCTTGTGGAAATTATCAGTTTATTTACAGGTCCTCTTACGATATAAAGAACCTTCTGAGTCATACATGTACATGTTTTTTTTTCTTTTTCATTTACATTTTAGTCATTCTGTGTGTTGGAACAAATGGAAAAGTTGTCCGCCACTACATCCTATAGACGTTACTGATTCAGCCAATTTGAAGAGCCCATACCTACATGTTTTAATGATTACAAATTTACAACAAAAATGTGTACATGTAACTTTGTCACTTTTAGTCTGATTTAAATTTAAATCAAATTGTCCCCATTGTGCTTCTTATATTTGTTCAGCCTTCCACTGGTAGTTTGCTAATACTAGAGAATAAGGTGGATTTCCCTTTAACATATATATTAGGTATATTAAATCTTCTGTGAGAAGAGAGATTATGGTGTCTGTTTTTCACTATTGCAGCAGTGCAGTGGCAGATCCAGATTGGAGGGGGGGGGAGCCGCGGGACCCCCTCACTTGGCCCCATAAACAGGTAAATTTAACCTTTTTTTAGATTTAAAAAAGACGCCCCCCCTGGAGAAAAGGGGGAGCAAAGGGGGGCCGGGGGTGGTGGGTGTTAACTCGGTGCTCAACATTTTTTCACGAATTGTGCCCCCTTTCAGCCGGCCCCCTCCCTTTCTGCAGACTGGATCCGTCCCTGCAGCAGTGAATTCCACTACAGTCACATAAAGGTCCCAATAGTGTCAACAATTAATTTGGATAAACTTGCATAAATTTGCATAAACTTCCATAAATGTGAGTGCAACCAAGATGATCAATTACAGAACAGGGACAACCAACAGCTTGTTCGCTAGACTGGTTACAATAGCCTTAGGGCTAGGTGATAACATGAAATATGATATGGATGTCACTAAGCCTTAATTGGCACCCATATCGAGAGTGACACACCAAATTGCTATCCCTCCAGTATCAAATATTTACATTTTTTGTTAAATGTTTGTATTATTTTAAAGTGATTTGTATGAGAAGAAAGAAGAGTTTATATTACTAGTCCTACAGTATAGTAATACTAATCATACTAGTATTAACAGCTACCACCAGTGGGTAAGGTTATTTTAGTGTGGGTACTTCTAGTGGTTATTATGAACAAATTTGAATTTTTGTTTTATATCAATTATCAGTCTTGATAGGGGTACGGGTATCAATTAAGTGGCTCGGTAACATTGCCTCAGATTCTGAAGAAAAAAACTCCTGGATTTAGCTCATGCTGCAATCATGATTACAAACATTTAGGTCAGTCAGGAATCCCATGACTTTACAAGCCGATTGCCTAGCTGTCTGATTATCAAGATATTTATGATTGGAAATCAAAATTTTATTTTTTGTTTACCTAACAGTTTTTTATTACATTCATGTACACTACAGTCTTTTGGGGAAAATGAGAATGGTAAAAATGGTAACTCAAACTAACAGATTTTTACTTCTTTGAGGCATTTCTATCATGATCATTTTGAAGCGCAATTTTGTTTAGGGCTTCAATATTACACCATATCACAGGCACTGATAACACGTAGGGCCATACAGCTCAGATTGAATATTATTAAATGATGGGTATAGGCCAAGTGATATCAATGTTATTAGATCTACAACCTGCGTCTAGCAGCTACCATGAGCTGAGGATGCATGATGACACCGACAGTAGCCTATACGTGTGAAAAGTTGATGCACATGGGTCATATGGCAAGATTATTAAGAAATCTGATTTGAACGTCATATGCTACCTTACGTAAAGTCCACGCCTAAAATGCAATCATTAGAGTCACAGTTTTTGATATTTTATATCGTATTCCACCCAGGCCTGCAGGGCAAAACCACTCCAGCAAGGCTAGAGTCAATTAATGCTTAGGCGTATTGTCCTCTAGCGCTGTTACATGTACGTGCTGAGAGGCAGCAATAGCACACGATGAACACATTGCACACAATTGCACACTAATGCACACAATGTATACAAAGTGGTTGATTAGCAAGTTTGACAGTAGACTCACGATTTGAATTTTTGAATTTTTCTTTCTAGTCTAGATCTATATGACTATAGACTAGATTCTAGATCTCTAAGTATAACTATAACATAGACCTAAGTTGAAAAAATTGTATGCTATTTAGGTGTCATCAACTCCCGGCCCCCCCCCCCCCCCCCCACTCCGAGAACGGATGGACCCCATGCGTGTTACCAAAATGTCCTTTTCGTAACAAAAGAAAAAGGTCGACCCGTATTGACTTTACACACCGGACTTTTGCTGAAAAAGGCTTGTATAACAAAAGAAAAAGGTCGACCCGTATTGACTTTACCCCGGCCCCCCACGCAGGGGTCGGAATGACCGCATGCGTGTTACCAAAATGTCCGGTAAAGGGGTACTTTTCGTGCGACAAAGTCCGGCCCGAGAATTGTAAAAAAAAGGGGTGTATTTGACTTTTCACCCGGAGATTTCTTTAAAAAGGGGGTGTTTTTCTTTTTTTCTCTCATCTCTTTTGACTCCTGAGAAATTATTCTGAATTTAGGGGGGTGCATTGAGCATTTTTCCTGATTTAGGGGGGTCTCCAAGGCAGGAAAAGCCTGTTAAAAGCCCGCGAAAGGGGGGTTCGAAAATGTTGGCAGTCCTCAGATAGGGGGTGCTTTCAAAAAGAGGGAACGAGCATATGCGTACCCTAAATAACACTGAGTGGGGGGGGGGGGGGGGGGGGCCAGGGACTTTACACACCGGACTTTTGCTGCAAAGGGGGGGGGGGAACACGCATATGCATACCCTAAATAACACTGAGTGGGGGGGGGGGGGGCATCAACTATCACTAAAGTACCGATTTTGAGTGAAATCAGTTGAGTTTTGTACAGTGTAGTTTGAAATGCTGAAAATCAATATGAACAGTTGCACAGCCAGGATAGTAATGCAGCTATGTGTGGGCAAAACCAGGGACATGGCTCGTGATGTCCACCAGTCTAGGTATCCTGCCGGGCGGGAGCGGCGGGCCCGGCGCACCTGGTAGGGCTATTATTTCCATTTGAATGTGCAAGTTAGATTTATTTAAAAAAAGAATAAAATACGGTGTTACTGTAGAACCTACCTTAATCAGACGGATGGGCACATAATAGAGACCTATCTTGATGTCAGGCTACTAATGTGGTCTAGTTGTTTCAGTCGGGCAACCGTGTTCGTGAAAGAGAAGAAAGACAGCTGCACGATGCGATGGAGAGTTAGCTCGAGAGCGGGCTGCCGTCGCGTCCGGGGCGCGACTTTGCGTTTTACACCCTGGCCTGGACCTTTTCCCAATAAATTTCAAGGAACCGACTGGGAAAAGTCTATCCATGACAAGATATTGCGCGCGCACGTAGCTCTTCTGCAATGCTCAACGTACGTCCTATATGTCCAGTGTCGCGGTACGCGGTACATGTACTTTTGTATCGAGACGTACGAGTGACAGAAAAACAACGAATAACAACAGAAGGAAATAGAGAAAAACAATAAATAATTAAAGAACAGAGAGGAAACAAAGAATGTCATAAGCAGAGAGAGAAAACAAAAACTAACTTGAAAGAAAGAGAGAAATTAGAGAAGGAATTAATCAAAGTAAGGAAAGAGAGAAACCAAATAATATTATGGTTTTTGTGGTTTAATTCCGCCTTCTTCAGGGTTTCAATTTTTGACGTGTAGCCTACTTTCAAACCATTTGCTGATTCGGACCCCCCCCTAACACACGTGTACACATATCGACACATACACAGACTACACTCGACATAATATGTGTAATGGTAATGTAATACATAAACTGTGATTTAAATATTGCACTCGTACCATTTTCTATTATTGTGGGATCACGTCTTTCATTTTTTAAATTCATGTCATTTGTTTCTAAGACCTAATTTCTCTAATTCTCTTGACCCCTCTCCCTTCATATTTGTTTTCTAAGACCTCCCCCCCCCCCCTCATCTCTCTTCATATTTGTTTTCTAAGACCCATTTCTCCCCCGCCCCCCCCCCCCATCTCTATTCATATTTGTTTTCTAAGACCTCTCTCTCTCGACCCACTCTCTCTCTCGTATGTATTTCTCAGACCCCTCTTTCTTTCTCTCTCATTAACCCCCTCTTCATATTTGTTTCTAAGGCCTCTCTCTCTCTCTTCATATTTGTTTCTAAGACCCCCCCCCTCTCTTTCTTATTTCTTGATATTTGTTTCTAAGACTTCTCTCTCTCTAGCTCTCAATTCATGATATTTGTTTCTAAGACCCCCTCTCTTTCTCACTTCTTGAATTCATATTTGTTTCTAAGACCTCTGTCTCTCTCTCCCTTTCTCTCTTTCTCATTTTAAATTCATGATATTTGTTTATAAGACCTCTCTTTCTCTCTTTTTCCATTCATCACTTTGTCTAGTGTAATGTACAGACACATAACATATAAAGGAAATTATACACCAGTTTTACATGAATTCATTTGCACTTTATTTACTGCTTTACATTCATATACTTTTTTTTTCGTGAAGGTAATCTAATCCTTCAATGTCAGAGAAGTAATACAAAAGATACAGGAGTATGTGTATGCATAAATAGTTAGTGAAAGCAAACAATAGTAGAAATTTGAACAGATAATTTGACAGTGTGTTAAGATTTAGATGCAAGAAATGACTATAAGAAATTTTTATTTGAAAATACATGCACATGTAGATAAAAAGAGATCTGAACATAGGCGGATTCATGGGCGCAGAGGCGTGCACCGCACTTTACTTTGGAGATAACGAACTGAATACACATAATAATGGATGATACGTGAAAATATTTTTCTTCAGCGAGTAACAATATTTCACGTATTTCGCGAAAATTGATCATCCAATATTATAATTATTATTTAGATACTCCACAGAGATATTGTGATTTATTCACCATTTTTTATAATATACTAGTACATGTACTTGTAAACTGCATCTTGGCAATTGAAGCTTGAAACGAGTGCAAATATGAAATTTCCCAAGCATTTATGTGGTGCTGGTGCACAACTAACATGAAAAGTTAAAAATGTTTGAATTTCAAGAAAACAGTAGGCCTACCGTAACAAAAAGAAAAAAATGAAGAAAAATATTTTCACGTATCATCCATTATTATGTGTATTCAGTTCGTTATCTCCAAAGTAAAGTGCGGTGCACGCCTCTGCGCCCATGAATCCGCCTATGTTCAGATCTCTTTTTATCTACATGTGCATGTATTTTCAAATAAAAATTTCTTATAGTCATTTCTTGCATCTAAATCTTAACACACTGTCAAATTATCTGTTCAAATTTCTACTATTGTTTGCTTTCACTAACTATTTATGCATACACATACTCCTGTATCTTTTGTATTACTTCTCTGACATTGAAGGATTAGATTACCTTCACGAAAAAAAAGTATATGAATGTAAAGCAGTAAATAAAGTGCAAATGAATTCATGTAAAACTGGTGTATAATTTCCTTTATATGTTATGTGTCTGTACATTACACTAGACAAAGTGATGAATGGAAAAAGAGAGAAAGAGAGGTCTTATAAACAAATATCATGAATTTAAAATGAGAAAGAGAGAAAGGGAGAGAGAGACAGAGGTCTTAGAAACAAATATGAATTCAAGAAGTGAGAAAGAGAGGGGGTCTTAGAAACAAATATCATGAATTGAGAGCTAGAGAGAGAGAAGTCTTAGAAACAAATATCAAGAAATAAGAAAGAGAGGGGGGGGGGGTCTTAGAAACAAATATGAAGAGAGAGAGAGAGGCCTTAGAAACAAATATGAAGAGGGGGTTAATGAGAGAGAAAGAAAGAGGGGTCTGAGAAATACATACGAGAGAGAGAGTGGGTCGAGAGAGAGAGGTCTTAGAAAACAAATATGAATAGAGATGGGGGGGGGGGGCGGGGGAGAAATGGGTCTTAGAAAACAAATATGAAGAGAGATGAGGGGGGGGGGGGAGGTCTTAGAAAACAAATATGAAGGGAGAGGGGTCAAGAGAATTAGAGAAATTAGGTCTTAGAAACAAATGACATGAATTTAAAAAATGAAAGACGTGATCCCACAATAATAGAAAATGGTACGAGTGCAATATTTAAATCACAGTTTATGTATTACATTACCATTACACATATTATGTCGAGTGTAGTCTGTGTATGTGTCGATATGTGTACACGTGTGTTAGGGGGGGGGGGGTCCGAATCAGCAAATGGTTTGAAAGTAGGCTACACGTCAAAAATTGAAACCCTGAAGAAGGCGGAATTAAACCACAAAAACCATAATATTATTTGGTTTCTCTCTTTCCTTACTTTGATTAATTCCTTCTCTAATTTCTCTCTTTCTTTCAAGTTAGTTTTTGTTTTCTCTCTCTGCTTATGACATTCTTTGTTTCCTCTCTGTTCTTTAATTATTTATTGTTTTTCTCTATTTCCTTCTGTTGTTATTCGTTGTTTTTCTGTCACTCGTACGTCTCGATACAAAAGTACATGTACCGCGTACCGCGACACTGGACATATAGGACGTACGTTGAGCATTGCAGAAGAGCTACGTGCGCGCGCAATATCTTGTCATGGATAGACTTTTCCCAGTCGGTTCCTTGAAATTTATTGGGAAAAGGTCCAGGCCAGGGTGTAAAACGCAAAGTCGCGTCCGGGGCATGCATCGCAGGCGGTCGACGTCAGATCCGAGCTTCCAGCGTGGCCGTGGATGCGCCAGATTCAGAGCGAGTGCTAGTTTCTCGAAACTGCCATAAGTCTAAGCTCGTGGAGATTTGGTAGAAACACGTGTTAGATCTCTATCACACGTTTCAATACGATGTCTAAAAAGTTAGACTTAATGACGGTTTCGTGAAACCTCCCCAGGTGTTCGGTGTCGGGGATCTGGGCAGCGTTTCATGAAACCGTCATAAGTACAAGTCCAACGACATCCCATTGAAATGTGTGTATTAAGTTTAACACACGTTTCAATGGGATGTCGGTGAACTTGTAGTTATGACGGTCTCATGAAACGCTGCCCAGATCCAGTGGATGCCTGGTACTGGGAGGCGCACGCCCCCCCCCCCTTTTTTTTTCTCCCGAAAAAAATGTGTTCGCATACATATTCTGTTTAAGCATTTGGATAGGCCTCAGAATCTGCCAAAAGGCTAAGATTATCCGGGGACCGCATCCAGTTGAAGGCTTCATTCTCGCAATTTCGTTTATTTCAAGCTTCCTCCCCCCCCCCCCCCCCCCCCCCCCTGTAAAGTCTTTGATCTGCCCCTGGATGTATGGCCGGGTAACCTGGCGCTACAGTCGTTTGTAGAAAAAAATGTTGCTGGGCGCTGTCGCCTGGTTAATGACTCTAACCACAAAAAGTAGGTCTTAAAATAGCGTTAATGACTACTGGACGCAAATCAAACACATGTTGGATGTGATACAAAAACGGGTCAATAAATATTGCATCATTTTTCCAAAACTGGTCAATGACTTTAATGTCGCAGCTCGTATCGGGTGCTGAGTATGTGAGCGTGTGTGGTGTGTCTGTCTGTCAGTAGGTAACTCTTTGATTTATAATATTCGTTCAGTGTAAACATTAATATGTACTGTGTATTAAACTATCTTATGTATTTTGTGAGAGATGTACAATTTTCTTTATATTTTGATATATGTAAATCAATGAAGCTGTATGTTTGTTTGTTATATATTTTGTACTGAATAAATACTTACTTACTTACTTACTTACTGCCCATTATGCCTCCTGGCACATAGGGCAGCAACAAAAGTCTTCCACTCCTTCCGATCCTGGGCCAGTCTTTGGATTGTATCCCATGTGTGGTTCAGGTCTTTAATCTCTCCTTCCACAGTTCTTCGCCAAGTGGTTTTAGGACGTCCCCTCTTTCTTTTGCCTTCTGGTGTCCAGTGGAGGGCTGTTCGTGTGATGTCATCTCTGTCCTTTCTCATTACATGCCCGATCCATCTCCACCTTCTTCTCGTGATGATGTAATGGGGTTGGGTTTCCATCCTATCCAATACATTGTTGACGTTGATGTTTTACCTTCTTTTTGCTGAATAAATACAATAAAACAATACTACAAAACAAAAAAACACCCTACATACATTATATACACAGAATAATACTGCTTATTCCAATAGAGGGCGCACTCTTGTAATGATGCCTAGAGTACCTGTCCATAGAGATATATACTACTAATTAAGTATATATCTCTATGCTAGTGTCCCTACACTAATGATGCCCACGCAGAGCCATCTATGTGTATTGATGGCTCGATCTGATGATGCCCAAGTTCATTGATCTCGTCATTAGGGACTTTTAGATTAATTTGCACGTCGACATAGTGGACTGCTACGTGTGACGTCCTTTTAAGGCATCGCCAGTGCACGCAAATATTTAAGTCCCTAATGTTATTTACAACATTGCAGTATTTCTTAACATTGAGGTCGTTGATGATCTATTAGGAAACAATAAATTTGATACAAATAGTAGTTCAAGGGAAGAGTGAAGGTAAACCCATCCACCCCATTTTTTCCATGATGAAAGGAGAAAAGGAATCTGTATGAGATATAAGAGTTGTGCCAAGAGAGAGAGAGAGAGAGAGAAGGGGGGGGGTGCAAGATGCGGTCGGAATCCATTGCCTTCAAGGCCTTATTGATTTTCGCCAAGTTGGTGAAAATCAGTATTACATTTAAAGTTTTTTGATCAAGCTATCCGCACTTCCACCAAAATACCCTTTTGTTTATTAGGCCTGGATTTGCATACAAGTCCTGATTATTACTTTACAAGGATTCATTAACATTTTTGTTTTGTAAAAAAAGTAGAAAAAGTGTGAAAGAAAGTTTTGGAATGGGGGACATGCTCGAATGCCTCAGCCACACCTTTGTTTGCTGCGTATTTATGGCAAGCCGTTTTAACATTTATTCCTATTCCTTGATATCAAGAAATGATTTTCTGTTGTAAAGCAATGGTAATTCTTGAAATCAAGAAGTCGATTTCAGGGTATCAAGAATTCATTTCTTGATTTCAAGAATTCGATTCTTGATATCAACAAATAGAAATAAATGTTAAAACGGCTTGCCATAAATACGCAGCAATACGCAAGCCAAATACACAAAGGTGTGACTGAGGCAACGAAAGTCCACTTCTGCGGCATTGTTTTGTTTTCTTACTGTGAATTTGATTTGAGAATCCTCCCCCCCCCCCTCTCTCTCTCTCTCTCTCTCTCTCCCTCTCTCGCTCTCTCTCTCTCTTTTTGTATTCCTCAGTCTCCCTCTTTCTCTTTCTCTTTCTCATTCTCCCTTCCTCTCTCTCTCTCTCTCTCTCTCTTTCTCTCTTTTTCTCTCCTCCCCTCTCTCTCCTTTTCCCTCTTTCTTCCTCTTTCCCTCCCTCCCTCATTCTCCCTCCCCCTCTCTCTCTTTCTCTCCGTCAGCCTCCCCCTCTCTCTCGGTCTCTTTCTCTCGCAGTCCCCCCCTCCCCCCTCTCTCTCTCTCTCCCTCATTCTCCCTCCCCTTCCCCCCTCTTTCTCTCTCTCAGTCTCCCTCCCCTCTCTCTGAATGTCTCTTTCTCCCTCAGTCTCAATCCCCCTCTCTCTTGGGGATCCTGCTACGCCTGCATTGGTTCTGCGGATTAAATAATATTCTTCTTGTTTTATTTTTACTTAAATTTCTAAATTCATAGCGCCATCATTTATCGTGCCACATGTATGCATGTATGCATGTAATTTCGTGTTTTCGTATACAATTCGTCGCTGTTTTCACGAAGTGACGGTAGTGAAAAAAAATTGCATTCGCTTTGCGTGACGATTTTCCTCACTACCGTCACTTCGTGAAAACAAGGACGAATTATTGTTTATTTAATTATTTAAAAAATAACTGTGTTAGGAGCATGTCCATACCATACTTGCAATATCAGAATATATGACGACTACGTTTATCAGCGCTGTGATTGGTCACTTATGGTTGACGTCATTATAAGTACTTGTTGACTGATCTAGTCCGCCTCCTTCAGCTGTCTGGCAAGGCGAACGGCGAGGACCAAAGTAGAAATATTGCCACACCCACCCCATCGGAAACAGGTAGTTCTAGCTGACGTACTGACAGACTGACTAACTCTAAATACGGGAATTAATTTGCTTTCATCATGGCAAACCGACCTAAAGGATTTGGCATGACAGCAGAATTAGCGGTGAGAAGTACTACCTGTACACTATTTTATACGTCAATTTCGTGCACATACATATTTCATAGCAGTATGCGAGTAATAGTATACTTCGTGCGGGTTTTAGTTGTGAGTCGTGACTATTTCGCAATGACAATGTAGTAGCCTATTCAGTACGAGTCGCATTAAGCTATGCATGAGCGGATAGCTCAGCTGAAGTGTTACAGATAATCGATGCAATCGTGCACGCAAAATATAAATGGAATTCGTAACACCACCTTGCAGAGTATTGTTTGAGATCGAGGGAGGGGTCAGATGTGGAGTGTGATTTAGGGAAGGGTGGGGTATGGCGTGAATCTTAGCTGAGGAAGGTGTGATGTGCGATGTGCATGTGTGAATTGAGATTTAATATTAAGGAGGGGTGTGTTGTGGAGGATAATTAGGAGGGGTGTTGAGTATTAAGATTGAGGGAGCGGTGGGTGTATGGCGTGAGATTGAGGGATGTGTGATGTGTGTTTTAAGGAGGGGGTGGGGTAGGTGCGGAGCGAGATTAAGGGAGTGGTACTGCATGGTAGGGTGTGGAGTGAGATTTAAGGAGGGGTGGGTGGGCCGTGGGCTACGGTGTTGAGTGAGGGAGAGGGGGGGGGGGGTGTGCAGTCATTGAGGGAGGGTTTATGTGGATGGAGCAAGGCTCAATATCGGTACGAAGAACTAGCATGGTCTTTTTTTCCTGGCAGATCATTGCTTATACGTGTAGGCCCTAGCCATATGAGAGAACTTACCTATGAAAATATCATACATTGATTGGTCGTTATATACATGTACATGGCAAATATTTGCAATATTATTTTTCATTTTGATCATGCAACGTGGTACACCTTTCAAACATCAAGTGTCAAGAAAATACATCGTTATACCATGAATCTACTGTGGTATACGATTGTAGGTATATCTTATCATCGTGTGTTCAAAGGTCAATTGCATTGTATGAACACGCACATTAGTGCTGTCTGCATGCAGTCTATAATAATTTAACATGCATGCTGAACGTGATACACTAATATTTCCGGGTTAATTACCTCATAAGACGTTTCCTATTCTAAAATAATTTACATCCGTTTGCATCAAGAAAGTCTCTAAAGCTCGCAGACATATGAGAAATTGAATAGTATTAGAGATCTGTTGCTATAGAAATACTCATGATGTTATGATCGTATTCTATTTCACTCAAGGCCGTCTAGGGTATAAATCTATCGGGTCAGCTATTCATTGTGTTCGAGACCTTGCTGTTTGCTATTCTCCCGTTGAATGCAAATATTTCATGAGCAGTAAACCGCGAATGCCATATCTTTATGGTGACGGCATACAGTAGTCTGCTAGCACAGACTCTGTATTGACACTTCAACACAATTCCAGAATCTATCTGTCTGTAGAGCGGCTAATGCAGTACATGCAGTACGTAATTCTATGATAAATTAGAAAGAGAAAAGTCACATATTCTTTTCAATATGACTACAGAAAGTACTTTGTCATTATTATTTTTTCTTCAATTCAATCTACTGATTTTGATAGTAAAAGCAAGAAGTACAGAAACACGTTAGTGATTTTTTTAAAAGCACAATAAAGAATATGTATTGTATACGAATGTTTGGAAGATAACTACACCAAATTGAAAACTTAGTCCTCTGCTTGGCTACTCTCCTGTCGAAGAAAATAAGTTACCAAATCTACTGTGACAAAATATACTTTTCAAAATGTGCTCTTATCTGTTCTTCTCTGTATGAAATTCCCTCATCAAAACTGAAGAATTTGGAACATTAAATTTTGTTTGAACAAAGCGGAGGAGTTTTTTGCGAATGGGGTTATAGGGCTGCCAATTTGACTTGTATGGATATTAATTGCTCATTCCTTTAATAGACGAAATGTTCTTCAACATTCATCGTGTCGATTTTCGTGGTTTATTTCGTGCAAATTATTTATTGAATGGACGGACTTCCCTTTAAGGAACCGCAGTCGTCTGTTCAAGAATAATCTAATAAAGCGATCGGTTTATAGAGGAAATATATTATTATAAGGACTGCAGGAAATGAAAATACATAATCATGATGAACTGTCGTCCTCAACATTTCCTAAACTAATTTCCTTTTCTATCCTACAAACGGCTAGACTGTTACGTAATATTTCACTTCCCCTGTTTTTCCCAGGGATCTTTTTTTTTTAAAAACAAGCACTTTGTCTCTGCATAATAGACCATTTTCGTAATGTAATATATTTTAATGCACAAATCTTTGTAAAGTGCCTTATTACAAAATATTTCATTGAACTGTTAGGAATAATTGTATTTCAATAGTCAGAATGCGAGCCACATACATTCCGTGTTGTTATGTAGGACATGCCATAATATGTATCTTACCAAGCAACAATAACAGGTATCCCCATCAGTTTTAAATGAGTATATCTTCAGTATTCTACATAATGTACTTGCGTTGAACAAAAATATTTATGTTGTCATTTTACATTTTATAATCTTCAAATTTCTGAAAACTTCTGAATTTCCAGTGGCGCATCAAGGTGGGGTACGCCCAAGGGGGGGGGGGGGGGAAGGGTAGAACCCCCCCCCCCCAAATACTCGTTTTGAGTGGATGACTTACTGACAATGTTTCACCAAATCATGCTATATTGTAATGGCATATGAAATTCTGTATTCAACACGCCATTTAACAACTCGCTCATCTTCTATATTTTCCCCGCTTTCTTTACCGAATTAGTGACGCTTGGTGCAACCCTTTTCCTCTTATATTATGTCAAGTTGTCAACAGCACCTCACCCTGCATTCCAATTCTCTAATCTCTTTTTTTCCCTTCCGTATTACTTTTCACATTTCCTCTCCAGTGAGCTCAAAGTGACAAAGTCCACACTCTGTTAAGTCAATATTTCTTTTCTGCCAGGGTGATATGATTCATTGTGATTGGGAAAACATGTATAATGTTATGGTAACATAATATGATCCCGCCGCGCTTTTTCTTGCACGTGCGTGTCCGCAGCTTCGGTCGGCCAACTTCTACAATAAGCACATTCTTATTATTTCCCTCATGGGCGCCCTGCATCCTCATCAAAAATATATCACCACCAGCCTTACCCGTAAGAATTCTTGAGGTGAACCTTGCAGCCAGGGCGGGTCCAGCCGGCGGCGAGTGTTGGGGGCCCTATTCGTGAGAAAATATTTAGCTGCAAATCAGTCGGCAAATAAGCGGGGCTGCGGGGGGGGGGGGGGGTGTGATCAATTTTTTGTTTTAATCACTCCCCCCCCCCTTTTCCCTCTGGAGCTCTTACCAGAGGTGGGGGCCCGTCTCCTTTATTTTTTTTAATACAAAAAGGTAAAATTGTGGTTATCATCTTTAATTCTTTAACTTCTGTTTTTGCCACTGGTGGGGCCCGTGCCACCCTGGCACCCACCCTGGATCCGCCACTGCTTGCAGCAGTGATTCGGCTTCATATGGCTGTGTGCTGCGCCACGGCCATGGACTTCTTACATCATAGTTTTTGTATATCTAAATAAAATCAATATGATTTGTTATTAGGGCCTATTTGATATATATATATATATTGTAATAAGCCGTGGTTCTTGAATAGCGGCATGGAAGACGATTTGTTGACTTATTTTACTGAATCTTCAAATGAAATTAAACTTGTTAACCCTAATAAGGCCGGGGGGGGGCATTATGGCCCCCCTCCACGATTTTTCCGATTGCTCGGGAACGCATAATTATGGATGGCGCCCCGCCGCTCGCTGACTTTTTTCTTTCGAGTCTTGCGCAACTTTCAAAATAATTTTTTAGAAAATCGGACCTACGGTTACAAGGTCACGTGACCTTTTGTCTTTGCATGTCAGCCCGAAAATCGCTCATTTTCGTGATTTTGTGTACAAAACATATGGAAAAGTCATTTTTCCTAAAAACAGATCAAACATAGGTTGTTGGGTCTTGTTTAAAGTTTAGGTGGTTGTTTTGGGAGTCAAAATAGTTGAATATTATTGTAGTAAGAGATGAATAAAACAACAACAAACAATGAAATACATAAAAAATTATCAAAACAAGGGATAACATGAGGAATAAGCTGGCTCTTCCAATTTTTTTTGTCGTGTCATTATATATTCAGAACGGTCTAATGAGTGAAAAAGAATGCTTAAATATGAATAATATATTTTTTATGGGTACAAATGTGATTTTTATGACTTTATTTGCATAAATTACCATAAATATGCAAATGAGTGAATTTTTCAAAAATTGAAATTATCATATTATTCTATACACTTCACTTGACATGCGTGCAAATTTTCGCGACGATCGGCCGCTTCGCGGCCGAGATCTTAAGGGGGGGGGGGGCATAATGGCCCCGCCGTACTAAGACCTCAAATAGCCCGGCCTTTTTAGGGTTAAAGGGGGGATGACTGGCCTACAGGTGTATTTATTTTTAGAATTGTCTTAGCACCGCCTGTATAGATAGACCGTGCGTCTGATACTCGGCAGACCGCAAAGTAATTGCAGATCGATATCCCCCACCTATAACAAAGTAAATAAGGACCCCTGTAGTTGCGCTATGTAAAGTCGATTTGTACAGACCTGCAAGAGCCAGCCATGTTGGATAAGAAGGTACCTATTCAGACTAACGGCACTGAAGATGGAAATAATATAAATACAAGAATAAGCTGATAAATGGATGGATGGGTGGTAAAGGAATGAATGAAGTATGTGATGAATTGATTACTGAATAGTGAAATAAATACTTTATTGAATAGAATAAAAAATCCAATTAATGTGTTTTCACCTCACCTCAACCTATATAGAACAAGAAGGCAGCCAAGTTTGATGCGGATTTAGCAGACGAGACGCTGCAATGGATAGTTAGCATACTAAACACAGGATCATCTGAGGACCAACAGCTGGCATCTCAAATTGTAAAGGTCAAAACCGAGAAAGATGTCCACACACCTCTTAAAGATGGCGTCATCCTCTGCCAGTAAGATTCCCTTTTTCATGTAAGATCCCCCCTCCCAATTTTTCAGTCGACTGCCCAGTGGTCTCGTAACCAGTGATCCCGGGTTCGAGACAAAGTCGATGCGCCCGTGCCGAATTGGAAAGACATTATTCCTCATTACCAAGGAGAGAACTCAAAGCCGTATGTCCCCTGGCTGCTTAATTACAAGCATACACATGCTTTCTTAGAAGTCAGATATAAAAACCATCAAACCATGAACGTTGAAAACAGTTACTTTGACCCACCGTGACAGCTATGAAGCCGATAAACCTGTTTTAATGGATGATTGATTGGTTATATCTGGTCATTTACCGTTATACTTTCAATGTCAAACATTTAAAACATTTATGAGGCTACAATCCACGAGACTGGCATCCATCGAGACCAAAGATTTCAGTCTTACAGACCTTTAAATAACGATTTTTAGGTTTCGCTAGACCAGTTGTCAATGATATGAGACTGATAGTCCAAGAGACCGAAAAGTACCTCTCGTAGGCATTCTAGCCTCTTTCCAGATGATTCCTCAGACCGTACGTAGGCCCATACATCCTCACTTGTGTACTTCTTTGTCTGTCCGTCTTGTAGGCCACTTGAAATTGCATTCTTTTCTATTATATTTCATGCATTTCTTTGTTTTGTTGGTCTCTCAATATTCAGAATTGTCTCATTATTGGTCCGAAGTAATTCAGACTTATGTCATTCTGGCTATGATTCCGTTCATCTTATTTTCCCGCTTTCATCCAAATGAAATTATTACAAGAGTAGCATTGCCTTTTAAAACTATTCATAGCCGTATGTCTAGTGTGCTAGTGTCTAGTGGCGACTCAAAAGCTCAACATAATACTTACCCGACATTGCATCAAGTAAATCAATACAACTTTCATTCTATATAACTCTAATGCATGTATTTCATAGGGCCCAGATTTTATCAACGCAATTAATCAATCTATTTATGAATCGGTCTACTATAATTGTATTTTACATTTCCTTTTTTATATAGTGTGGTCAACATCATCAAACCGGGGTCGGTGAGAAAAGTCAATAGCTCTAAGATGGCTTTCAAACAGGTAAGGTATATTCTCTAAAGGAAATCGGTTCTCAACTATAATTGTACTTACTGCAACCAAATACGTGCTCACGCTACTCCACTTCTCCGTCCTCATTTTTTTGTTTAAAGTGGAACGTAATTCTTGAAAAGAATTTAAGAAAGAAGTGTTAAATGTTAACTCAGTTAACTAATGGCCAACATGTTTGTTTGTGAAGTGGGAGCGGGCTACAGCTTATGTGACGACAAATTAAACTTGGAATAATAAACTCAAATTTGTTCAAAGCTCATCTTAAAATATATATCTTAATATATAATGGAATGAAAGAGGACTAAAATTGCTACAAATGGGTGCAAATAGGGTGCACATTTTTGTGTACTTACTGTGTACACACAATTGGTTGTTTTAGAGTAATGTTTGCCAGGGTGGGGTGAGACGAAGGCATACCCCCCCCCCCTCCCACCCCCCCCCCCCCCCCCCCCCCCCCATCATCACCAGTCTCTCACCGCCACCGGATCCGCTAAAAGTATTCTATGTATGCTCAATCAATCATGTCTTTTTTGCAGATGGAAAATATCGCGAACTTTCTGACAGGATGTGAAGGTCTTAAAATGAACAAAACTGATCTATTTCAAACTGTCGACTTATACGAGAGTGGCAACATCCCGCAGGTGATTTGAATATAATATATTGTAGAATTTAGGGCAGGTGGCAAATATTTGAAATCACTTTAAGATAAACTTGAGTTCTGGTAAAAAATAAAAAAATGAATTCTCACAGAATCAAACGAAACTTACACTAAATGTTCAAGATTACAAATAAATGTCATTTGCCAAACAATTTTGGTAGAAAATGTATACTGGCTAAGTAATGAGTATGCAAAGATAAGTAAATCAAGTTGAGTAGCCCCGACATTTTTTGTGTAGTCCGATATACATCTTTCTGTGTAAAGTGCTTGTTACTTTACCAAGACTGGGCCAGATTTATTATGATTTTGATGACTCCAGAACCTTGCAGTGCACACCAATACTTACATGCTACATGATCAACTTGTTCTGATCCATACCACACCTTTTCTTTCACAATGCAATCGCATGACCAGAACTCAAATTTATCTTTAATGACAATGTTAAAAGCAGTACAACTCGTACAAGGTTCAAGTATGTATGTAAACAGGCATGGTATAAGCAAATGTTGTATACTGAGTAGAAGCTTCTCCTTCGTCTTTCTCTAAGCATTTATTTGTTCACACCCTTTCTCTCTAACTCTCCAACTCTTTTTGTCTATCCCTTTTCTTCTTCTGTTCTGCGTGTGTACTATGTATTGTGCTGATGAATGTTGTTTGTGTGGATAGGGGTATTGTATATGGTATTGGAATGAATGAATGTATGTGGGTGGTTGTTTTTTGTTTCTTATTACTATTGCATGTTGATTAATTTCATTTAAATTTCATTTATATTCATTTATTTCTCTATTTTTGTACAGCGCCCCACCTAACAAGTTTGCTTTCTTAGGGGTCCTTCCAATGCATTGTTTGCATGTATTCATCAATTATCAAGTTCTTTAATGGAGCATAAATTTAAATTGAATTTGATAACAATTAATTTGTTCATGTTGTGCCTCAAACGTTGAGAATAACAGATGATGAACATAATTAAGTAGTAAAAGTATTGCATCAGTCATCAGATTATCCAATCTCAAAGAGAATTGGATTAGCCCACATCTAACAGTAATTATGTAATCCGACCCAATCATACCTCTACCTTTACGTTGCCCGTATCCGTATGGCTGCGAAACCATCTCCATAAAGTAAATAACAGAGTTACCTGGAAATTATAATCCTAATATATTGATGACAAACTAAATCTATCGACAGGCTAGTTTGACCGAATTCCTCCTCTTTATCTGCATTTGTATACGAAGATAATGAATTTTGAGGTGGGAAAAGAAGATTTTAATTTACTGGCATTTATTATTCTTTTCCACGCCTACAACCATGTTCACTTCTCTCGTTTGATGTTTCACGCCGCTCTCACACTTTTCCCTTGGCATTCTCACTTACTTTTCTTTGAGGGCCGGTGCCAGAGCCCCTCCCCCCCCCCTTTTTTTTTGTTTGGTGTCAACATTTTGTTTGTTCGTGATAATGTTTTATCAAATGATTTTATTCAGTGACCTAATCGTTTTGTGTGTGTGCGTGTGCGTTGTGTGTATGTGTGTGCGCGCGCTTGTGTGTGTGTGTAGGGGGGAGGTAATATACAAGCATACATTTTTTGTATATGTTCTACTATTTTTTTTTTAAATATTAGAAAGGGAATACCATGTGAATCATATATTGTCAAGATATTGACGTTTAATTAGTATTTACTGAGATTTACGTAAAGCATAATGTCGATCTGAAGTGTATTTTTGTTGTATTTTGTCGTTAATGTTATGCACTGTATTTTGAAGAAGAAATATTTTCAAAAAAAGCATCCCTTATCCCGGTAAATGAAATATTCTCGAGTTCTCCTTCAGAGAGGCATACTGAGTATGATCGAATATCTTTGATGCCGAACATTAGGTTCGCCCTCTTCGATCCACTAGAAAGAATACACACTACCAAGTAGGCATATACCTATTCGTATACCTTGATGGATAGAAGCAATATAGACCTTTTCTTAAAGGGATAGTTGAGTTCTGTTTTCAAACCGCAAATACCATCAAAGTGCATGGTTCTGGCTCTTATTCTTATCTACGACATTTCTAGCGCCTTCTTAGGACCTAAAATTGCTATGAAGGTAATTTTAAACCCCAAAATGAGTGAAATTTAGCCAATACGACCATACGAATTCAGCCCCACTTAGAAAAGAATAAGGTAACCGTAAATTCATTAATTAATTAAAAAATTACAGTACATTTTCCGGCTGGTTGTGCGTAATAATTATAACCAACACGGAAAAGCCAACAAAAAAGCCAACATCGGCATTGGCTAAAATACAACGTATAAAGGCGCTATTTCGGGTTTTTTTCAACGGCTTTTTCAAATTATCAAATATTTTTGGTGGTACACAAATATTAGAAATCGTTATATTTACGGATATTTCAGCCGTCTCTGAACCGATTTTGATCAAACAAAGATGATTTTGTCATTCAAATTGTATGTTCTTTAAATTCTTTCAAGTTTGACACTCAGTTTTTCATTATCTCACCAACAAAAATATTTTGTGTAGCGCCCTCTGCAACAGAACTCACCTTTCCCTTTAATCTTGCTTTTAGGACAAAATACCTCAGTCGATCACATCAACACTTAGCCCGACTCCAGTCCGACACCAAAACGAACTCCACTCGAATGGCAAATAATCGGTTGGTTTGAACCTACAACCTTCATAACACATCTCCAATCAAGTCTTCAACCACTCGATTATACCGCAGTCACACCAACAACAACGACAATTAACAGACCAAACAAATATCCGAAATGCCTAGAGTCGCCGTCGGTTTGGAGTCGATGCTGAATTAGTTTGGGGTACGTGTGATTGAGGTATGAAGTGATGTGCTGAGGATTGAGCTTCCCATCTTTGCTTCTCCTTTCAAGTGTCATCATTCTCTGTTTGTCACCAACAGGTTGTCTTTTCCATTATCGCGCTTGGCAGAAAAGCGAAGGCAATGGGACTGCAAGGGCTTGGTCCCAAAGAATCGACAGCAAACAAACGAGAGTTCACGGACGAGCAGCTACGAGCTGGTGAAGGTGTGATAGGGCTACAGGCTGGCTCAAACAAAGGAGCTTCACAGGCTGGTCAGAGTTTCGGAAAGTCTAGAATGATCCTTGATTAGATTATATGACCTTTCTAGCTGTATCATTCAATAGGAAGTACACTTCATGAGAAGATGAAGCGATAATTATACTTCCTATATCGCATTGTAACCCACATATCACCAAATACAATTTAAAGCGTATTCGTACCAGACTACCAGTTGATGGAATATATTGTGCCTAAATTGACATATCCAGAAAAGACGACAGAATTGAACCCCTCTCCCCGAAAAAACCTTGCACTAATTATAACGAACTAGATGCATCTTAGGGAGAAGTTTTTGCATTAGTGTGTCCTATCACTGACAAGGAGGATCAAATCAGACAACACTGTATAACTTTCGTGGATCCGTGTAGCAGCACGAATCTCATATTTCTATACGGAGTACTTTTTAAACATACACATACAAATAGAAGAAAGTCTTGTAATACCAAAAGACAAAGTCATCGTTTCACGAATCCCAGTATAAATACTGGACTTTGATACCGGGGTGTGCCCCATGATAGTGATTGGAAAGAATATTCCTCTTACTGTAGACTGGCGTTTTGTATTATTTCTTCAATTGATTTGATCTATATAATCGGCTAAACATTACAGTTTCAATAGCTGTTGTGAATCTATATAAGCAACTCAACAGTGTGTATGAAGCACTACTGCGAATATTCACATATAATCTTGTTTTGGCTTATCGTTATTATTGCTAAGCTATGGATTACCAGTTGTGGATTGAACCACGTTATATGGTTATATGTAGAGGTCAGTTATATTTAGAGTTTTTTCCGTTAATGGTTTGGGGGCTAACAATTGGACAAAACTGAGTCCGGTTTCCCGAGTATGACTGAAATATGACAATCAGGTGTGGGGGAGGCTATTTGTTGCTTATGTATGTAAACGTATGAGGACGTATGGGCTTGTAAATTCATGAAGAATTTTCCAAAAATGTTCCAAACACTGATGGTAAAGGCAAAGCATGATGGTGCTTCGGGGTATGCTTATGTTATAGGCTTATACAACATTAATGACAGCAAACTGTGTAGTCGAGCGCAAGCTGAAGTCAAGAATATTATGTATAATTTGATATTTCTTCATATTGAATAGCGCAAGGAAATACGATTCATTTGGATATTGATAGACCGATACATCGGGCACAGGTTGAGGGTTTTATTTTATTTCCTTTTTGTTTTGTTATTGTTTAATTTTTGTGTGATTTTTTTTGTGAAGATCGTCTCTTTCGAACCCCTTGGTAAATTTAGTATTCGAATTGTACCTTCATATTTGTAATCGATGTACATGTAATTCATATTCATGCTATGTTTCCAAAATTATGGGCTGAAAACAGTAGTCAGATCTACATGTTCTGTGTCATACAGTATAAGCATTGCATATCATATGCAGGTACGGCCATGGTGTGGCGTCAGGTTCGTGTTTTTTATTATTATTTATTCACTTTTTTATGGTTTATAATAAAATGTATCACATTTTCCAATTGCTTCATCAAGTCGTTTTACGTTTATCGAGATTTCCTCATTCTTAGTTTGGTTTTCAAAAGCAAGATCTTCCTTGAATTGATTAAATTATTATAATAAATTTGCTTATATTGTTGTCTATTGTTTTGAGTGATGTTCTGTTATCAGCGAGACGATATTCGTGACTGCATTTTGAGGCAGATCAATAATCATTCATGAGCACATGCAAGCAGACAAATCATGATTATGAGACGAGAGATTAAAGAGGGAAATATGAGTGAGAGGTGAAGAGAGAAAGGGGGAGGGGGTAAATAAGGGTCAAAGATTGATGGGACTAATGTGGATGAGAGGATATAACGACAGGAAGAGAAAGGGGGATACAGAAAGAGAGAGAGAACGTCAACAAAGATAGAAGATTAAACTGCAGATGAATGGAGATTTGCAAGAAACCATACAAAGAAACTTCAATAGCCTAGTGCATTGCCTACAGAAATGTGTGAAAATTATCATTCCATATTAGATGATCAATATAAATAATGGGCAACCCAATAGAATAATGCACTAGATTTCTTTTCTTTTAGATCACAAAATAAATTTGACCGATGTAGATGTAGAAAATGGATGCGAGAATTCTTAGTACCTAATACTTGAATAACAAAGAACATATAAATGTAAGGTATAATACAACATAAACAAACAATAATTCCTTCGTGTCAAAAGGTTTTTTTACATAATATATGTACATATAATAACGGAACTTAATATTTCCATAACATATTATCATAAATTTAAAGTATTATCCGAACTATTCTGTTTGAAAAGTGCAGGAGACCGCAATCATAAGCAAAGCTTGACAAGGATGGCGGCCTCGAAAAAACGAAAACAAAAACAAATCGTAAGGTAAAACTTAAAATGAAAAAGTGTTTATATACCAGGCGCGGATCCAGGGGGGCCCGAGCGGGCCTTGCCCCCCCCCCCCCCCGCAAAAAAAAAGGAGAGAGAGAGAAGGAAAGAAGGGAAAGGGAAAGAGGAGAGAAAGGGAAAAAAGAAGAGGAAGAAGAAAAGAAAAGAAGGAAGAAGTAGATCGGGGGGGGGGGCAAAAGGACTTGCCTCCCAGGCTGTTGCCCCCCCCCCCCCCCCCCCAAATCAAAAAATAAAAGAGAAGGAAGGAAAGGGAAAGAAAAAAGGAAAAGAGGAGATACAAGAAAGGAAAAAAGAGGAAGAAGAAAAGAAAAAAAGGGGAATAACGACACAACAAATCGTCTTCTTTCTATAATGATTTAATGAAACGTAAGCTTCCGCTTAGCGCGGGAGGGGGGAGGGGGAAACTCGCCCCTCCCTGCACCCACCCACCCCCAATTACGTCACTGCTGGTCACCATTACGAACCAATATTTATCTCGCATAATTTCAAATTTTGCCCCCCCCCCCCTAAGAAATCCTGGATCCGCGCCTGTTGTATATACAACGGCAACAGTTTCAATATAAAATGTAAGTTCTTCTTACTTAAATCATTGGTCTGGAAACAATTATTTGCCCATTGTTGTGTATTGTATTACATTTTCACTGACAATGAATTCACATTGTAATGCAATTTTCAAGTTTCCCAGGCTTATTTAGGAGAACAGAAGATTGATATTGTTTAGTTGTACGATAACATCACTCAGTTTGATTTGATTTGATTGGAGATATATCTCATAGAGTAAAGGCTATACAGTTTCAAACAAACCTACACCATTAAACTTCAAGCTCACTCACACATGATTTATTGCGACACTTTCAAGGCTACTTATTATTTCAAGTTCATGTATATACAAAGGGCAACAGCTTCAATATTAAACGTAATTAAATCAATGGTCTGGAAAATGTTAATGCCCATTGTTGTATATTATACAACATTTTCCATAACGATGAATATACATTGTATAATGCAATTTTCAGGAAAACCATACTTGTCATTACTGTTATATTTGTTATATGATACTAAAGCAAATCGTTTCGCTTATCGATAAGATAAATCAATGTGAAGTACGTGTCAAATAATGAAATCATTACGTGCTATTTTTAACCGGACTAGACATTTGAAGCGTATAAAACATGTATACACTATTGACAGCAAGCAAGTTTTTTAAACAAAGAATTCAGAAATTGAACAACATTGCACATTTTAGTCTACACGGCATGCTCTACACCCTTAGCTGGACTGTAAACAGTTGTCTTCTTAATGCTACAGTCACACGGCCATGTTACGGACCTGCGGATGCCTGCGTATATTTGGATAATGAAAATGCGTAATTTTTAACCCCAATACGGAAATTTGAGCAAAAGTTACCTATATTCTGCGGTTGATACGGATTAGTTACGGATGTTACGTATGAATTACGGATGTTACGGGTAAAACCTGCGGATGAACCCATCCGCTGCCAACCCGCTGACACATGTTACTGACGACTTACGGATGACTTACGGATTTTACGGATGACTTACGGACGATACGGATGACTTACGGACGATACGGATGACTTACGGACGATACGGATAAGTTACGCTCGTGTCTGCGCATGTCGGCTTCCTCTGGCGTCCGCACCATCCGCATATAAACCCACGTGGATCGGAGCTTGCTTCAGTCGCATTTCATCAAGTCTGAGATCTAGTTCCAGTTATTCAACAGTATACCATAGCCAATGGAAAAGTGGATTTCTAACCATGTGACAAGATGGTATACGAGATTTTTACAGATAATTAGTCGAGTGATACTGCTTCCAAAAGTTCGCAAAAGTGTTTTCCAAAAAAAAACGACTTACGAGATTTTGGACGCCCACCGACGATAATCAAATGCAAAATGCATGTAATACATTACAAACAATATTATACATGTATAGAAAACAAAATATAGCAAAACAAAATTTAAATAAGCTCGATGTGCCTCGACCCATCAAGATGTACAATACACTTATTTCGTTGCGTGTTCATAACGCGTTCTATCTCATGCTGATATTTTAATTTCTTTTTAAATGATGAAAACGATAAATAACCATTTAAACACTAGTTGAAAATATATAATATTTAGCATATAAAATATCAAAATTAAAAGAAGAATAATTTCCACCTGGTATGCCAAATACAAAATCATTAAAAGATAACATTATTTCACTTTTGAGAGTGTATTTTTCAAAATCATCTAAAAATCGACGATTGAAGGGGCATTCCCAAAATAAATGAGCAATAGTTTCAGAGTGTTTTGAACAAAAAGAACACAAATTTAATATACCAACAGTTTTCAGATACTTGTTAACACCAAGGATATTATGAAGAATTTTATATTGTAAATATCTAAGTTTTCTTGATAAAGAACATTTTAAAGGAATCATATAAATTTTGTCCCAAGTAACAATTGGTTTTGAAACAATGTTCCTCCATTTGTTTTGTGAAATAGGAGTTTTAAAGATTTTCTCAACACAGATTTTATAAATAAATTTACATCCTTTCGTTACCTTGTTCAATTTTTTTTTGGTCAAATTTAAGCATCAAGAGTTGCATGATTTGTCTGTTTGTTATGTTTGGCCAACTGCTTAGGCCATGCGCTGCTGCCAGGGAACTGCTCCGGCGGTGCCATTGTAGTAATGCTTGAGGTACAGGCGCTGGCGCTTGGCAATCTTGGTGGTGTAGTTGCCAGCAAGCCTCTGTTGCATGTCATCCAGCACGCCCCCCTCTCTCCATGCACCCGGGATGATGTTGTGCTGGTCGTCCTCTCTGTCCATCATGCCATTCTGCTCAGCGGATGCCTGGTCTCTCAGGAGGTTGTGGATGCACAGGCAGGCGAGGACGATGGTCTCCACTGTGGAAGGCACCTGCAGGCGCGGATCCAGGATTTCTTAGGGGGGGGGGGCCCAAATTTGAAATTATGCGAGACAAATATTGGTACGTTATGGTGACCAACAGTGACGTAATGCGGGGGGGGGGGTCGGGGCGAGTTTCCCCCTCCCAGGCTTTGACGTTTCATTACATTATTAGAGAAAGAAAACGATCCTTTGTACAGTTCTCGACTCTTAATCCTTGTCTAAATTCAGTTCCTCCCCTCCCCCTCCTTCGCGAAGTGCGGAAGCTTTGACGTTTTATTAAACTATTAAAGAAAGAAGACGATTCGTTTTACCGTTCTCGACTCTTAATCCTCGTCTGAATTTAGTTCCCCCCCTCCCGCGCGAAGCGCTGAAGCTTTTACGTTTCATTAAATCATTAGATAAAGAAGACGATTCGTTGTACTGTTCTCGACTCTTAATCCTTGTCTAAATTCAGCCCCTCCCTCTCCCCTCCTGCGCGAAGCGCGGAAGCTTTGACGTTTTATTAAACTATTGAAGAAAGAAGACGATTCGTTGTACCGTTCTCGACCCTTTATCCTCGTCTGATATCAGTCCCCCCCCCCTCCCGCGCGAAGCGCGGAAGCTTTTACATTTCATTAAACCATTAGAGAAAGAAAACGATTCGTTGTACAGTTCTTGACTCTTAATCCTTGTCTAAATTCAGTTCCTCCCCCTCCCCCTCCTGCGCGAAGCGCGGAAGCTTTGACGTTTTATTAAACTATTAAAGAAAGAAGACGATTCGTTGTACCGTTCTCGACTCTTAATCCTCGTCTGAATTATGTCCCCCCCCCCTCCCGCGCAAAGCGCGGAAGCTTTTACGTTTCATTAAATCATTAGAGGAAGAAAACGATTTGTTGTACAGTTCTCGACTCTTAATCCTTGTCTAAATTCAGTTCCTCCCCCTCACCCTCCTGCGCGAAGAGCGGAAGCTTCTACGTTTCATTAAATCATTAGAGAAAGAAGACGATTCGTTGTAAAGTTCTAGACTCTTAATCCTCGTCTGAATTCAGGTTCCCCCCTCCCGCGCAAAGCGCAGAAGCTTTTAATCTTCATTTAATCATTAGAGAAGAAGACGATTCAGTGTACCGTTCTCGAAAATAATCCTCATCGGAATTTAGTTCCCCCTCCATCCCGCGCGAAGCGCATAAGCCTTTACGTTTCATTAAATAATTAAAGATTCGTATTACCGTTCTCGCCTCTGAATCCAATTCAGTCCCCCCCCCCCCCTCCTCCCCTCCTGCGCGAGGCTTTGACGTTTTATTATTAGAGAAAGAAAACGATGCGTTGTACCGTTCTCTATACTCTTAATCCTTGTCTGAATTTCAAAGATGTTCTTTGTCTGCTCCTTTTTCTTCCTACGTCCTCTTCCGATTGGGGGGGGACCGCCCCCCCCCCCCCTGGCTACGCGCCTGCGGTCAGATAAACACATCTTGATACCTTGTCCGACCCCGCAAGCTCAGGGGTTTAAGGCAATAAATTACGGTCAGATAAGCATTCAGGGGCCCGCCTTAGGGCCCCTGATGGGGTCGAGGCGGCGGAGCCGGCCCCGGAGGCTCAGGGGCTTTAGGCGTTTAATTTAATTTTTGTGTATACCTTATTATTTTGTGACACTGGCAAGTCACTATTTGGCGTTGGGTCCAGGGGGCGGAGCCCCAAAAAATCAGGGGTTTTAGGTATTAAATTACCGTCAGATGATCATCTAAGGGCCCGTCGTAGGGCCCTAGATGGAATCCAGGGGGCAAATCCCCCGGAAGCTTAGGGGTTTTAGGCATTTAATCACGGTCAGATGAGCATATTTTGATGCCTCGAGGCTCTCGATCCCCGCCGTACGTCGGGCCCTGACATGTAGGAATCTCAAGAATCATATATTTTGCCTGGTTGTAAATTTAGGAATTTTTTATTTTCCAACAAACACATACAAACGTATAATTTACTAAAATGTGAGGAAAAATTTCGGAAATTATGTCATTCAGCATTATTTGTAATACACCGTTGTGGAATCAGAAATAAACCACGTTTGAATTTGATTTCCCCCAAGCCCCCCCCCCCTCTATCAGTACGCCAGTATCTCCTCTTTTCCTTTTTTTTCTTTCCCTTTCCTTCCTTCTTTCTTATTTTTTTTTGATCGGGGGGGGGGGGGGTGGGGGGTTAACAGCCTGGGAGGCAAGGCCCTTTCGGCCCCCCCCCCCGATCCCCTTCTTCCCCCTTTACTTTTCTTCTTCCTCTTCTTTCTTTCCCTTTTTCTCCTTTTTCCCTTTCTCCCTTCTTTTCCTTCTTCTCTCTCTCTCTTTTTTTTTTTTTTTTTTTTTTGCGGGGGGGGGGGGGCCAAGGCCCGCTCGGCCCCCCCCCTGGATCCGCGCCTGGGCACCTGTGCCATAGCACTCAGAAGACACCGGAATCTGTTTGCAAGAATGCCAAAGGCATTCTCCACACATCTCCTGGCTCTGGAAAGTCTATAGTTAAATATCCTCTCCTCCATGGTCAGTGGCTTGGCACCAAAAGGCTTCATCAGGGTGGTGCGTAGTGCAAATGCAGCGTCAGCAATCACGAAATAAGGGATGTCTCGATCGTCATGAGGCAGTGGCTCATCTGGTGGTATTCCAATGTTCTCATCGTCAATTGCCTCTTTCAGACTGCACGTGTTCCAAATCTGGGCATCAGAACTCGCACCACCTGCTCCCACCTCCACCCACCGGAACTTGTAGTTGCCATCAACCAGGGCAAGGAGTACAATCGAGTTGTACCCCTTATAGTTGTAGAACTGGGAGCCACAGTTCGCGGGTGCCTTGATGCGGATGTGCTTGCCATCTAAGGCTCCCAGGCAATGGTGGAAGTTCCACCGGTCGGAGAAGGTCTGGGCAATGCCCTTCCACCCCTCTGGAGTAGATGGGTTGCTGATGGTCTCCTCGCCATACTCAGCGTAGATGGCCTGACACACGTCCAACACCAAGAGTGAGATGGTGTTGTGGGGTACATAGAATAGGTACATCAGGCTGTGGTAGGAGTCCCCACTGGCAAGGTAGCGCATGGTGATGGCGACCTTCAAGCCTACTGGAAGGGCCTTCCTGTACCAGGTATCATACTTCTGTAAGCGAGGAGTGAGGCGGGTGACCATTTCGGCAAACATGGCAGGTGTGATGCGGGTGAAGTTGCGGAAGCCCTGAACATCCTCATTGCGTAGCAGGTGCATCAGGTTACCATAGGTACCCTGGTGTGGTCGCAATGTGATCCAGTGACGAACCCAACACATCCTCTCTTTTCTCCTTTCAAGGATGGCTTGCATCTTGGCCATCAGGATCTTCATCTGCATCTGATTGTGTTGGATGGCCATCAAACAATCCAGCAACACAAGGCGGCGTTCTCTCTCCATCTTGAGTGACCTGTGAAAGTCTACAGTTGAAGAACTGACAATGATGAGGATGCTGGCAGCATCAAGGGTTGCATACCCAAGTGAAGACCATTTGGCATGGGCGACATCCGCCGAAATGAAAGAAGACATAGGTAAAAATTCCGCATATTATCCGTATCTCAACCGTAACATACATATCCAATCCGTAACATCCGTATCCCATCCGTAATATTCGTATCCCATCCGCAAGCATACGCAATTACCGCAAGTCCTATCGTAAGATCCGCAATATATATGTCAAAAATACGTTAAACATACGTAACTCCTACGTAATAGTGTTTACGTACCCCTATGTATCCGCAGGCATCCGCACACCCGACAAAGTGTGCGGATCAGTTACGTATCTAACGTATCCTGCGGATGAGTTTACGTATCTTACGTATGAGTTACGTATTTTACGTATGGATAACGTATATTCTGCGGATGCTTACGTATATTTCATCCGCAGCAAAATTTTGAGATTTTCAAAATTCCGCTGCGGATCTGCGTATGTCTGCGGATCCTGCGGATTGAATTACGGATGGATACGGATGCTTACGGATGATACGGATCCTTGCGGATGCTTACGGACTTTTATTCGTAAGCATCCGCAGCTACCGTAAGTGGCCGTGTGACTGTGCCATAAGCCTTCCATATAAATATAAATTTAAAGGAGGTCAATAATCATTATGAAAACACCACTTTCGTAAGGTTGACACATCAATATATATTGTGCACACATGTAACAATGTGATAATATTTTTTCTTGGGGGGGGGGGGGGGGAGACGGGAGGAGGGCAATCCAAAAAGGGACTGATATGTGAACATTAATATTGATAGGTCGCTTCACAAAAGGGGCATACATAGTCCTTTTTTGTGGATAGTTTTTTGAGCAAAACACAAAATAGGTGGAAGGACGGGGAACACGTCTTCCTTCAATTTTCTGAGGGGGATCGTCCCCCATGGATAATTTGAAAAAGTGTACACCAACAAAATGTATAGCAAATACTGACTAAAGACTGCAACACGCTTTAAAGGCCTACTGCACTACTTGTAGCTACTTGCGCCCTCTTACAACAAACAATGCCTAATCGGTGACTATTGGTCCCCCCTGATCCTCTTTTTCTTATGTTAACTGAGAGCTGAGTTGATGAGATAACCACCTGTCCAATGATTTTGTAGGGCGCTCTAATCCCTCCTTTAAACTATGGCAGATAAGCTTTAAGGCTCTGGTGGGCCCAAGAGTACAGCGTTTAGACTAATAGAAATGCTAAAATCTTCTCGCTCGGTCGCTACGCTCCTTCGCATGATATCCTAAAAATATACAAGTAAATATTGAAGAAAATATGTATTCTGTTGTTATCACGTATGTACAAATTACACTGTATGTTAACAAGATTAAACGTTATAGAAATAGATCAGTGTTCCAAAAATGAATATTCAGCTTGCTCTTTTAAGAAGCCCCTTCCTGCTCAGTCAAACTAAAATTTACCTAGTAAATATTTACAACCCTTCGGACTGCACACTAGATATCGGCAAAGTAAAAGTGAAGCGTGAAAAAAGTATATTGCTTGTTTTTATGCTGTAGTTTTGCTAAAGAATGTAATTTTGTAACACAACAAAACTTCAAAAACCTGTGAGGGGTTTACATATAAGACTTATCATACAGCTTTATGGGGGGGGGGGCAGTAACCCCCCCCCCCCCAATACAATTTAAACATGGGTTATTTTTAATTTGATACCAGTGATTTACAAGTATTGCTAAAATGGCAGTATTTTTCCATGAGCTCCCGGGGGCTCTACCCCCTGGAACCCACCAAGGGCCCTAAGGCGGGCCCCTGTTTGCTCATCTGGCCGTAATTAAATGCCTAAAGTCCTTGAGCTTTCGGGGGCTCTGCCCTCTGGACTCACCAAGGGGCCTAAGGCGGGTCCCTAGATGCGTAATTTGGTCCCTAAAAGCCCTTCCGTTATGTATTTCTTTGTCTTTCTTTCTCCATATCCTCTGCACTCTCCTTATGTATTTTTTTGTTTTCCCTTTTCTTTTACCTTCTCTTCCCTGGGTATACGTGCTTGCACATGTACTATATATGGCTAAACAGTTTTGTAAAAAAAAATATGCGCGAACGGTCAAGGAGTAAGAAGAAGGCAAAAAGAGTACGAAGACGGCATCCATGGAAGCCATGTGAGAGTGTCCACTTTTTTCGCTTTTACTTTCACCCTTGCATTCTTTCCTGAATCAGAGTTTTCTCACACCTTGTAGACTCGTGCAGGTTATGATCTTGTGTGTGTGTGTGTGTGTGTGTGTGTGCGTGCGTAGGTAAACGCCATCAACCGCGGACCACTCCATAGAAAACTACCTCAAACCGCGGACGTACCTGCAATGGGGGACCGTCCACGGTTGCGATACCGGTTCCGCCGTATAAAATTTACGACGTAGGGGGCGTTTGAATATTAGATGTCACAGCGTGTACGGAACATCGAGTGGATCAGTCCTATGTGTATCGCGAAATGTCACAGCGCCCCCTTCGATGACTGCGCGGGAAAGACGCGATTCCATGACATTTGCTCCGGCGACAATTGCTCCGCTGTAAATTTCATACACTAATCGAATGGCTAACTTCAACCCTGGATTCAACACCATACCCTACCCTAAACCTAACCCTAAACCTAACATAAAACCCTATTGAAACCCTAACCCTAACCCTACATCTTAGACGAAATAAAGCCCGGAGCAATTGTCGCAGGAGCAAATGTCGTGTCACCAGAGGCGCCACCTGCTATCATCCCATAGCAGGTACGTCCGCTGTTTGATGTAGTTTTCTATGGAGTGGTCCGCGGTTGCTGGCGATTACCCATGCACACACACACAAGTACTAAACTTGGTCCACGTTTGACGCCATAAACGTGTAGTGGTGTGTGTGTGTGTGTGTGTGTGTGCGCGTGTGTGCGTGTGTGTGTGTGTGTGTGTGCGTGTGTGTGCGCGTGTGTTTGTGTGTGCAATTCGTGTAACGAAATAACGTATACCATAGCTTGGCAATTCTCATGGTCATGAGATACAATGTGAAAGGAAATGAGAGAATAATGGTCGCGTAGCTTAAATCAAAGTTCCCCATTGCAGTCCTCTCTTTTTGGATATTTTTGCATTTTGTTTTTGTAAGAGGTGTAGCGCCAGAAGAAAGAAGAGGAAGAAGAAAAGAAACGGGTGAAGAAGGAGATCGGGGGGGGGGGGCGAAAGGGCCTTGCCTCCCAGGCTGTTGCACCCCCCCCCCCCCTCCAATAAAAAAAATAAGAGAGTAGGAAGGAAAGGGGAAGGGTAAGAGGAGATAAAGGGAAGGAAAAAGAAGAAAAGAAAAGAAAGGGGATATCATTTGCAATTTTCCCGCCGGTGGATCGAGGAGGGGCAAAAGGCCCTTACCTCCCCCCGCCCCCGCTATAACAAAGAGAGAAAGAAGGAAAAGGGAAAGAGGAGAGCTAAAAGGGAACAAAAAAGAGGAAGAAGAAAAGAAAAGGGTGAAAAGAACGGGAGATCAGTTCCGGTTAATCCCGCCAACAACGTGTGGATCGGGGTGGGGGCCGAAAGGCCCTTGCCCCCCCCCCCCCCCCCCCCCCCCCCTCGGCAAACCTTAAGGAGGAGAGAAAGGGAAAGAAGAAAAAAGAGAAAGAAGAAAAGGGGGGTACTGGCGTACTGATAGGGGGGGGGGGGCTTGGGGGAATTCAAATTCAAACGTGGTTTATTTCTAATTCCATAACGGTGGCTTACAAATAATGCTGAATTCTTTCCGAGATTTTTCCTCAGTTTTTAGTAAATTATACTTTTGTATGCGTTCGTTGGAAAATGACAAATTCCTAAATTTACAGCCAGGCAAGAAATATGATTTTTGAGAAAAGTTAGGGCCCGGGGATCTGCTGGAATCGCAAGCCTCGAGCTCCCCCCCCCCCCCTCCACTTTTAAAAAAAAAAGGTATAGTAAAGAGAAATAGAAATAAAGAGAGCAAGAAAGAAAGAATAGTTAACTAGCTGCTCATCTGACCGAAATTAAACGCCTAAAAAACCCTGAGCTTCCGGGGTTCCGTCCCTTGCACCCCGCCTAGGGCCCTAGACTCCCCTGGATGCTAATCTGACGGAAATGTAATGACTAAAACCCCTGTTTTCTGGGGGCTTCGCCCGCTGGACCTCACGCCAATTAGTGTCCTGCCAGTGTCACAAATAAGGTATAAAAATATGTTCATCTGACCGTAATCAAATGCCTAAAACCCCTGAGCTTCTCGGGTCGGACAAGGTATCAAAATTTGTTTATCTGACCGCAGGCGCGTAGCCAGGGGGGGGGGGGGGGATAGAAAAAAATAGAGAGGAGAGGAAAGGAAGAGGACGTAGGGAGAAAAAGGAGCAGACAAAAAACATCTTTGAAATTCAGACAAGAATTAAGAGTATAGAGAACGGTACAACGAATCGTCTTCTATCTCTAATAATTTAATGAAACGTCAAAGCTTCCGCGCTTCGCGGAGGGGGGGACTGAATTAAGACAAGGATTAAGAGTCGAGAACGATACAACATATCGTTTTCTTTCTCCAATGATTTAATGAAACGTAAAAGCTTCCGCGCTTCGCGCGAGACGGGGGGAGAGGGTGGGTCTGAATTAAGACAAGGATTAAGAGTCGAGAACGGTACAACGAATCGTTTTCTTTCGTCAATGATTTAATGAAACGTAAAAGTTTCCGCGCTTCGCGCGGGAGGGGAAAATTACATTCAAACGAAATAATTTTCGAGAACGCTATAACGAATCGTCTTCTTTCAATAATAGTTTAATGAAACGTCAAAGCTTCCGCGCTGCGCGGAGGGGGGGGGGGCTGAATTAAGAGAAGGATTAAGAGTCGAGAACGGTACAACGAATTGTCTTCTTTCTCTAATACTTTAATGAAACGTCATATATATATATCTTCCGCGCTTTGCAGAGGAGGGAGGGGGAAACTCGCCCCTCCCTACATCCCCCTGCATTACGTCACTGCTGGTCACCATTACGTACCAATATTTGGCTCGCATAATTTCAAATTTGGGCCCCCCCCCCCTAAGAAATCCGGATCCGCGCCTGTTATATACTGTGTATATATACTTGTATATATACTGTGTATTTATAGAGCCGCAAAATTGAGGGGTCGCTAATTATTGATGAAAGACTCTAATTTGACTGACCGTGTCAATGCATTTCAGTTGTGCTGTCATTATTAAGTTATTATTCAGGTCGAAAAGATCTCATTACCGATTTGCCGCAGTGCTCAGTGCTCTTGTTATATGGACATGTGTGTGTTTATAAATAAAGATATAAAATTATTAATACTTCACGATCAGTATAACTGAAATATTCAAGTTCATGCTGTGATAGGCCTGTACAATTATTCTAACAGCCACCAGGTCAATTTTCATTTAATATTCTTTCTTCCCAGAACTGTTCAATTGAATTAAGTCGGGCGTATAATAGGATTTTATACGTGTGCAATGAGAGTTTGCTATATAGCCTTGTATATTAAGAAAGTATAAATGGGTACCTGGCAGGAATTATTTCCCTGACATGCTAGAGCGCCGTATGGCAGCCGTCCTAAAGCCAGGGTAAAAATCGGGAGCGCCAAAAGTGTCAAG